CTAAATTGCTAAACTGTCCAGGCTGGGCTCCAACTTGTGAAGTTCCTGCCTCAGCCACTCATAAAATGAACCCTTTAACAGAAACTTCTAACTCATGGTACTGCTGTAAGGATTAAATGAGATAAAAATAGTAGTGCTAACTTGCAAAACAGTATATTTCTTATGCATTATTATACATAATAATAGTGGACCCTTAAAAAAATAATAGTGGACACTTGCTCTCTCATGCTTCAGACAGAATTTATTAGTCGAATTCTGTTTTTATAAGTCACAGCTGGGCTTTGTGAGCAAAGTGAGGCTGTCCAAAGCTGACTGCATAGACAGTAGAAGAGATGTAAAGATAATTCTTTCTCACTAAGTAGCTCAAAAGAACTGTCAGGTTCCAATTATCATTGTTCCAATATTCAGTATTTTTTATAAATCAAGTACACAAGAGAAAAAGATGGTTTTTTTGCTTTCTGTGAGGATCTCTGCTATCTATAAGTAGCTCATAAGAAAAAAAAAATTCCTGTTTCTTGTGGTCCATCCAGAGTTAACCAGTCACAAAATATCCAAATGAAATTTTCATTTACCTCTAAAGCAGGAGCAATCCCTCCCACATAGGCTACCTGTCCCACACTCTCCTTGCAATATCATAGAGCTATTCATGAGCAAGAACAGCCCAAATCACAGATTTTCTTTCTTGACTCCAATGTATATTTCTCTGCCGTAATATTAACTCAAATTCCCAGTACCTCACTCTTCTTTCTTCCTTCCTCTTCCTTCAAAATTTACTGAAAGCCTACTCTGTGCCACTCCCTGTGCCAGATGGCGGGAATATAATGCTGACTAATAAAACCTACACATACTACCTCACTTCTTCAAAGCACTTTTGAAGTACATACATGCTATTATTCTTGCACAGAGAACTCAGAAAAGTAGGGAATTAAGATAATAAATCATTTTAGAGAAACCAAATAAATGCTTTAGAAATATCTTTAAAAGCAATATAGCCAAATAGCTCAGCGTATTAAAGTGTCTGCTTAGTCAGAGGCAGGGGCCAGGGTTGGATCCCCTGCGTGCTGTGCTGGCCCCGCCCCCGGGGCACGCTGAGACAGCAACTGAGAGTGGGCATGGTAGTGCGCGCCTGTAATCCAAGTTCTTGGGGGGCTGAACACTGGCAGATCACTATGAGTCCGATCTATATACTGAGACTCTGTAAACCCTGTACTAAAATACAAAAAGGAGAGAGAGAGAGAGAGAGAGAGAGAGAGAGAGAGAGAGAGAGAGAGAGAGAGAAAAGGCAATATAAAGTGAATAGAGGAGGAAAAACATTGGTTGCCAAAGTTCTGGGTTCCACTTGTAGCTTTGACATTTGTCTGTATATACGTTTGTCAAAAATTTATAACATGCAAAAGACCACACTGAATCTAGACATACTAGAGTAAATCAAGTACTAAATTCAATCTGAATCTAAGTAAGTGTTTTTCTTATAACTCTGAATAAAAACAATACCAGTCACCAGCTGCACTAACACAAATAAACAAGATGAGCAGGAAATAGTTCATATAATCAGGTTATAAAAATCTCATATCACAAGCTAGCAGTCAGGACTTTAAAGAACAGTGATAAGTCTCTGAACAGTGATACACGATTATGATGTGGTCCAATTCTCAAATTATACAAATGATTCTGACTGCTAGTAAAGAAAGGATTGGGTAATAGGGCTTTGCTTTAGTGAGCTGGTGTCAGGCTGCTCTGGAAATGAGTTTAAGTCCTGGTAATCAAAAGGCTTGCTTTTTATAGCCATCAACCACAGCAGACAAGGCTGTGTGCCTGAGAGAAGCCAAGGATTGGAACTCAATTCCCATGTATAAAGCTGGAACAATAGAGTAGCTGTTCTGTCAGTTTAAAATATATAAACTGATGCAAAAGTACAGATATATGACAGAGAAGCCGAATTAAAATATGAAAAAGTCTTCCTATGATTTTTTTTTTTTTGCGGGGAGAGGGTCTACAGGGTCTCCCTGCATAGATCAGACTCGTAGTGATCCTCCTATTTACAGCCTCCCATGAGCTGGGATTACAGGTGCGTGCCACCACACCATTTGGCTGGCCCTCTAAGTAGATGCTTTAATCCGCTCAGCTATCTGGCCAGTCCTAACCCCTTCTTCTTAAACTTAGCAACTCAGTGAAAATGAAGGCAACTAGGTTCACAGCAAACAGGAAACCGAAACTCCATAGTATTCCCGGGGGTTCTGTCTGCCAAAGCATCTGAATGCTCTCTGGCAAAGGAACTTAAAATTGTTGAGAATGCCCTGAATTGGGAAAAAGAAAAGTATCAAGAAGCTCCATGAGGTGGGATATTGCCTCGTGGGTTCTGGTTACTGGAATTAATTTTATTAGAATAAATATACAATAGAAGTTCAAACAGATAATCTTTAGCAAAGAAAATTAAGCTGCTATGATAAATACAAAATGCACAAGCTACAGTCACATCAGACTCAGTTTCCAATATATTTTAAAATGTTATTTTGGTTGTATAACTTTGAGACAATACTGATTTGAAAACATCTGCATCGAGGGCTGAGGGTGTAGCTCAGTGGTAGGGTATTTGCCTAGTATGAACAAAGCCCTGTTTCATCTCCAGCACACCAAAGAACAAAAACAGAAAGAAAAAGAAAAAAAAGACAAGCTACAAATGATTGCAGTTAGTTGAAAAATTAACACGCATTCTTAGAAGCTTACTATACTAGTCATTAAACATGTATGCATTTTTCTGAGTGTGTGTGTGTGTGTGTGTGTGTGTGTGGAACCAGGGATTGAACTCAGGCCCTTGTGCTTGCCAGGGAAGCACTTATTCCACTGAGCCATCTCCCTGGCCCCAAAGTATTGTGGATTTTTAATGTTTAATCCTTTTTTATTATTTATTTATTTATTTGCGGAACTGGGGATTGAACTCAGGCCCTACTGAGCCATCTCCATGACCCTTGAGCCATCTCCACGGCCCTTGTATGCATGTTTTATAAAAATAGTACTTAATTATTTTTCTTTTTTGTCTTTTTGAGACAATGTCTCACTATGCAGTTCAGGCTGGTTTTGAACTCACTTTGTAACCCAGGCTGGCCTCGAATTCACAGCAATTTTCCTGCCTCAGCCTCCTAACTGTTGGGATTACAGAGGTGTGCCACCACACCCGGCTTAATATTTTTTTTTTAAATCAGGTCAAATACTTGAGGATTCTTTGAAACACACTCCTAATATTCTTGTTGAATGAAGTTTAGAAGCAATCAGACACAGATTCTCTGAGAGATCTTTTTACTTTTAGTCTGGGGAAGCTAAAATGTACACATAATAAGGCACACAAAGAGCTTAAGGAGACACAGGTATATTCCATAGCTTCTATTCTTTGTCAATGACTCTTTGGAACAAAACTTCCATTCTCCAACACCAGTCCTGCAACTAAGACCTTAACCTATTTTTTGGCACTCCTTTACCACTTCTCTTCTATATTTTACTTTAGGTAAGCTCAAGTATTAATTGTACCTATATAATAAAAAAGTCAACCATACTTTTTCTTTTGTGATCAAACCCAGGGCCTCAGTGCATGCTAACCACATGTTCTACCACAAAGATATATATTCAACTATGAAAACACCTTTTAAATTTATTTATTTATTTATTTGTTTGTTTGTTTGTTTGCTTAGTACAGGGTCTCACAATGCAGCTCAGACTCATAGCAATCCTCCTGTTTCAGCCTCCCAATGCTGGAATTATAGGCATGTGAACCATCACCCTCGGTTTTGGAGGCCAGCACGGCATGCAGTACCAGGGATCAAACTAAGGTCCTTGCGCTTGCCAGGGAGGTGCTTAGACTGCTGAACTATCTCCCCAGCCCGATAATACCTTCTTAACTCCATGTGTTTGTTTACAGTGTTATGCCAACCTGGATTTACTATCTTTGTTTATAAGTACTACTATTAAATACTTAGTGCCAAGTATTATACACTGAGTCCCTTATGCTACCTTATGTAATCCTTGTATCAGCTCTGTGAAATAGGGTAATTCATTTATACCCATTTTACACATGAGAACATCAAGGTTTTGGAAGTTTGGAAAACTTGATCAAATCAAATAAGTGAAAGAATGCTTGCTAGAAAAGTACTGAATTTAGAGTTGATTTTATTAAGGAATAGTGAAGCAGTCAGGAAACAATGTCATTCCAGACTGAGAGGCAACATACATAGAGGCACAGAAATAATGCCATGTCTATATTCTCAGCTACTTATAAGGCTGTGGCAAAAGGGTTACAAGGCTGAGGCGAGCCTGGGCAACTTAGTGAGACTCTATCTCAAAATTTTAAAAAGTTTTCTTTTTGGGGAGAGGTACCGTGAATCAAACTCAGGACCTTGCACATGCCAAGCAGGCGTTTAAGCTGCTGAGGTATGACCCCAGCAAGAAACAAGTTTTTAAAGGGCTATGCATGTATTTCAGTAATGAATCACTTGTGTAGTATAAGTTAAGTCCTTAGGTCTTAATCCCCTAGCATCATGGCAGGGGAATAGGGATGGGGGATGGACACATAGCTTGGTAGGTATTTCAGGAAAAAAATCAGCCCTCAGAATCATTTGACTTGGATTCAGTGTCTAATTTTGTTTTGTGGCTTTTTACTGTGCTTTTTGTCATCTAGGAAATAGTGATAATAAACCATATTGTGCCTAATTTGCTGTAAGATTAAGGTAAAATAAAGTACATAAAGGTGTCCCATACAGGCTAGGTCCATGATAGGCACCCAGGCAACTAGGTTCACAGCAAACAGGAAACCGATTCTTAGCACCTGATGACAATTCAATGATGCTTAGTGAAGAATGTCACTTCTATCACTGTTGGACCTCAGATATATCTTTTCAAAGTTCTCAAGCTTTATCAGAGCTTTTAGATACCAAAAGTCACTCAGCAAATTATTTGATAATGTCTTTAACTACTAGTTCTCTAATAAGACCCATTCTCACGTCACTCACCCGTGTAGGCCATGTTCTTAGGGTTGCCATAAGGAGCCCCAGGCTGCACGGGGCTGTAAACAGGGTTCATTGTGGAAGACTGAGGATCCTACAGAGAAGACACAAAACACATTGATTACTGATTGCCATTTTTTCCTTGACATTAGCTTCTTTTTTGAGGGGGTGAGGGCAATGGGGGACTGAACCCAGGACATTTGCACAAACTGTTCCTAGGAACAGCTCTGCCCCAAAATTCTTTATTTGGAAACAAGGTCTCAAGTCACTAAACTGCCCTAACTGGGCTTGAATTTCCAATCCTCCTGCTTTAAGACTCCCAGAGTGCTGGGAATATAGGCATGTGTCATCATGCAGAGCCTGCTTCTCCTTTAAAATCTTTAGTTTATATTGAAAGCAAACTTTTCCCACTTTTTTTTTTGTGGTACCAGGGATTGAACTCAGGACCCTGTGTTTGCCAGGCCAGCGCTTATTCTACTGAGCTATCTCCCCAGGCCCTTTTCCCACTTACAAAATGAAGTGATTAAGGAGTAGAGAAGTGATATAACTTGTTCACTGTTAACCCAGGCTCTCAGTTCATTGTTAGTTCCACTATCCCACATATAACTCTATCATTAGTGTGGCATTGGCCAAGTCATGTTCCTTCTTAGTCCTGATGTAAAATGAATTAATGATCTCTAAGGTCATTTCTAATAGTAATGATGCTAATAACCCAAGAGCTGGAAAATGATGGGCTTCATGGTTTGCTATGGGAGCCTCAGAGCCTCATAAGGAGCACAGATCCTGCTGAAAGAAAGAGCAGAAAGGGTCTTACCAATCCCTTGAACTTACAGAGGGCATCATAGCAATCACTAGCAGCTTTAAAAGGGGTGTGGGGGGCTAATTGCCACTGAACATTGTAATGCAAACAAGGAAACACTGCCAGGATCTCTCCAAACTTATTCAAGGCACAGAAATAAGCTTGGAAATTTGTATGTAATAAATATCACCTGCATAAGTACACTGCTAATTATCTTAATGAAGCACATTCTCCATTCTGATTAATGGAAAATCTGTCATTAAGCTCTACTACCCAGCCAATTTGTCCCACTTTGTTTAGGTAGCCATTTCTTACACATAGGCTGACACATGTTTGAAAATGTGTCTCCAAATGTATTATTTATACTTCATAAAAATCAAACAATTCCCTCTTAACTAGGTTTACATGATAGATGGGCAATTTTTTAGCTCATTAATTTCTTCAGTAGCACCTCAGGATAGGAAACAAGTCAAACATTGAAGGCAGGCAATGAACAGCTGGCTTGACAACAATTACTCTGCAATTAATTAGTCTGTCCAGGGTTCTAGAAAGAGGGGTGGAGAAAGAGTTTGCTCCCAAAGAGAGGAGGCTAAGGTCATCAGACCAGCAAAAGGAAAAATAATGTCAATTTCTGAAGCTAATTTCCTTAAATTTACTCAATGTGCAGCCCTGGCAAACCACCCTTCGGATAAGAGGCTGCATAAAAGTACTTCCAGACTACAAACTGTAACTACAACTTCAGGATGAAAGTTAAAGAAGGCATATGTATTTCTGTTCAATTTAGGGAAAATATTCTAACAACCAGAGCTGAAAATTGAGAGATTACAGATGTTAAAATAAGTTGCAAAATTGTAAAGTGATATACAAATATAAGCAAGAGATCGTGATGCTGATATAAGGACAACACATTATTATGGACTTTACCCACTTTGCAGAATCTCTTCTATACAACCAGTCCTCTGCCTAATATGCCAGTGTAAGCAAGGTTGTTAAAGTGATGCTATGGTTTGCATGTATCCATCAAAACACATGGTTAAAAAACTTAATGGCCATTATAACAGTATTGAGAGATGAGACCTTTAAGAGATGATTAGGTAGTGAAAGATCTGCTCTCTTGAATGGCTTAATGCAGTTCTCTGGGAAATGTGCTCTGTATGAAAGGACAAGTTTGGCCCCCTCTTGTTTTCTCTTACCCTCTTTTTGCCCTTATACTCTTCTACCACCAGATGATGCAACATGAAGGCCTTGCCAGTTTCTGGCACTTTGATAATAAACTCTCCAACCTCAAAACTGTGCACCAATAAATTGTTCTGCTTTGCAAATTACAGAGTCTGTGGTGTTCTGTTACAGTAGCACAAAACAAACTAAGACAAGTGCTACACTCCACAACTGGCCCTGTAAACAGCTGAGCACACTCCTTTTGAGGAGGTGCTCTGTGTTGCCGATTGAACACAATAAGAAATTGCTTTTTCATGATCAAAGAAGTTCACCAGCTTTTGATCTCCTGCTGCTCCAAAAGAGCAGGGCTACTAACACAGGAGGAGTCCAAACCTGGGGCAGAACTCCACAATATATGAATTCTAATCTCAACACTGTTAAGAGTTTCAGGAACTACTAAAAATCTACAGAAATACAGCAATTAACTACTAAGAAGAATATATGCAGTGTATTATTTGTTGAAACTGTACTTTTGATTTAATTTGAAACTCTCTCATTGCTATATGTTTATCAATAAAACTTTGAAAAGAAAAAAAAAATCTACAGAAAGATCAAGACTTAGATTCAAAGCCTAGAACTGCCACATACCAACTGTGGAACCTTACCTGTCCTTCTGCCTGCCTGTCTGCCTTCAGGTCTCTCTCTGTCTCTTTCTTTCCCCCTTAACCTTTTTGAGCTTTAGTTTCCTCTATCCTCAAACTGGAAAAAAGAATAACACAAACTTTGTAATAGTTTTTATTTTTTTAATAACAAATTTACTGTACTTACAGACAATAAAATATGCCCTTTTAGGCACACAGTTCTATGAGCTAAAAAAAGTATATGCAGTTATACAAACAACACCACAATTCTATAATTTAAATGTGGCATTTCTACCACTTATAAAAGTTCTCTTATATCTTTTTAGTCAGTACCCTTTCCCTGATTCACAGCTTCTGGCAACAACTGATTTATTTTGTTTTTATAATATATATTTCAGCTGAAATTAATATGGATCATTCAGAAAAAGCATAATAATTACAAACACCTACCAAGCTCCCATTTCCTACATCTTCATCTTTTTCTAGATAAGTGTTTCTAGAGCAGTTCTATCCTCCAAAACTGACAGGTATGTTTTATATTAGCTGGGATACAGTTTAGTGTTAAGAGTGGAAGACTCTAGGTTTGATCCTCAGCTTTGTCAAAAGGGGCTGGGGAATAATAGCTGTGTTAGTGCAACTGAGGAAGTGAGTTTTCATTTTTATTTAATTTTAATTAATTTAAAAAGTTACATGCTAGAGAAACAGTATTTCAATATTATTTGTATATTTATAAATATACAGATATAAAAATAATGTTTAATCACACTTGGAAAGTTCTTTATATTTCTCAAAGTGCTTCACATTTATTTTGTCATTTGTTCAAGTAAATAGATAAAAGAATTTCTGCATTCAAAGTAAGCAGAAATGTAGCTAAATTATTCCTCACTTAAAGTGAAAAAAATAAATTGAAGAAAGGCAAATGAACAGTCCAAGGTCATAAAGCAAGTAAGAAGCAGAGTTAAGAGTAGCAGCGGCCAAAAAAGGTCAAAGATCTAAATTTAAGAACTAAAAACACAAAACTCTGAGAAGAATGCGGTGGAAATAGAAATAAAGCTTCACAACCATGGATACGGCAATGACTTCTGAGATAAAATACCAATAGTACAAAAGATCAAAGGAAAGAAAGACAGATAAATTTTTGTATTTATCTAAACAAAAAAAATTACAGCTTTAAAAAGAGCTATCAAGAAAGTGAAAAGAGGGGCTGGTGAGATAGCTCAGTGGTCTAAAGCACCTACTTAGAACAAGCTTAGCAAAGCACAGGGACCGCGGTTCAATCCCCCAGCACCACATGCCAGCCAGCCCCG